AATGGTCTGGGTGCAGTGGTCCTTTAGTTTTAGCCCTTTAATGTAAAGCATTGCCTTTTAATAGATACGGCAATGCTTATATTGCAGCGTTAATGCGGCGACTAGAGGTGCTTGCGCTGTAAAAGTTAAACTTTGTTCTCAGCTAACCTTTTTCACTAGATTACAGGAGGAGTGCATGCGCTTTTCGCCCCCCGAAAGCTTCTCTACAAAGTGCGCCCGATTGGACCAAAGAAGTATCAGCGTGACATCGTGGAAGGCGGATCAAGTAGATGCAGGGAGTCTCTGTGTTGGACAAAATTGTAAGTAATACTGTTTATTCCAATTTTTATTTAGATTTAGGAAGGGCCCTGATATAGCATTAGGAATACAGGTTTGTGTTCCTAACAGTATACAGTTATTCAGTAAAGTGAATTTTGAATTTAAGGTAAAAATATTAATAATCTGAAAAATTCTCTAATCAGCAAATCTTTCCCGTTAGCAACTCTGGCCTTAAATTTGAAATTTACTTAGAATTTTCCCTTTTGTGAATAGTCCTACATAGTGTTCCACTTCCTTGAATATCTGTAAACGCGATCCCATATGGTGACAGTGACCATAAAATTTGACATTTACAGCTTTATAGAAATAAGCCATGAATTTAGAATCCATTTTGAAGACTAAAGAAGATTCATAATTTGGAGTAGGGCTCAAAATGTACCAATGTTAAATATTTTTTCTTTTTAATCAAAACTGCAGTAAGCAGTCTCCATGATGTTGTTATGGTGCCCGAGCATCCTAGGCATTACCTTAAGGGGTTTAACTGCTTATGAATGGTTTAACTCCAAACTTGTAAGAATATTGCCGGTCCACTCTGCACAACTCCTTCTGCTGATTGCCTGAGTTATCAATTAGTAACCATTGAACTGGGTGCTACTGAGAGTGTTGCCTTAGGCACTCAACCTATCACTAGCTGTACATTTACAAAAAAAAAAAAAAGACGAAGTTATGGTGCCAAGATTGTCCCTTTAATAAATATAAACTATATGATTTTATGTGAACAATATTAGTACTAGCATAGTTAGCCAAATTCTTTGAAAATTGTTTGTCTTTATTTTAATTATATTGCTACCTATGGACTTGGTAATAATCCAGGCACTTTCTAAAATCTTAATTTCTTTTCTATGGTGAAAGCATATGCATCTGGAACTATTACAGTGTTTGACACTTGTTTTATTCTTTTTAAATCATGCCCGTGTGTGGAATGTTAATTCCAATGTGCAATAATTTATCTGTTTTAACACAGATGTTGATAGTTCTAACCAGATCGAGAAAGGCACAACTGTGAACCAAAATGTGATATATATTTTTAAATAATAGAAAAGTCAGTGCTTATTACCGCATACTGCCCATGATATTTTACTTTCTGTTTGTGGAGTTAGCCACTACAATTGTGGAAAGAATGATGCAAGTATCATATCATATGTCATCTCCCACCCAAATAGACAAGCCCAAAATTCACTAATTAAAATAAAATCTAATTAGTGAAAAACATGAGACTTCAGAGGACAGGGCATCACCTGTAAAGCAACTAACGTGATGTTTCAGCAACACAGGGCCTTTCTTAAAACCAGGTTTTGAGAAAGGCCCTGCAGGGCTGAAATGACACCTTTTCCTTTGCCACATTAAATAGAGGACCTTTGGATTTAAAGGTTTGTGCTAGACATTGCTATTTTGCTGTTGGCTGTGGGTGGAGCCAGGCTCCGTGCGCCCTAAACTGAGTCTTCATTGTTATTACATAACAGAAAGAGAACATGCAAGGTATTAAAAGGACCACTATAGTGCCAGGAAAACATACTTGTTTTCCTGGCACTATAGTGCCCTGAGGGTGCCCCCACCCTCAGGGTCCCCCTCCCGCCCGGCTCTGGAAAGGGGTTTAAACTTACCTTTTTCCAGCGCTGGGCGGAGAGCTCTCCTCCTCCTCTCCGCCCCGTCGGCTGAATGCGCACGCACGGCAAGAGCTGCACGCGCATTCAGCCGGTCACATAGGAAAGCATTCATAATACTTTCCTCTGGATGCTGGCGTGCTCTCACTGTGAAAATCACAGTGAGAAGCACGTAAGCGCCTCTAGTGGCTGTCAATGAGACAGCCACTAGAGGAAATAGGGGTAGGCTTAACCCATTCATAAACATAGCAGTTTCTCTGAAACTGCTATGTTTATGAAAAAATGGGTTAACCCTAGCTGGACCAGGCACCCAGACCACTTCATTAAGCTGAAGTGGTCTGGGTGCCTAGAATGGTCCTTTAAGTCCCAATACCAAACTAATGTGTTACCCTTTCAATTAATCAAGGAGGGTATGTACGCACTAATGTCCAGCTACGGAAACTGTGGTGATTAAATAGGACTAGTGCTGACTAATTTTCTGAAGAAATCTAAACATATCTCAAAAGGATCCAGGCCCTAGATTTGTTTAATTCACTTGTGTATTTATTTTCTTTCATTGGTGCTCCCATTTCAGTTTCCATCATCTTATTGCCCACCCCACCCCCTTTATTCAGTCACTTGTGATGTGCAAAGGAGAGTAAGGTACAATATCTTACTATTCACTTCCCCTCTTCTTCTTCACCCCGATAGGCACTTATGCCCTCCGTTACAAATCATCATATCCAACCTACTTTGTCAGGGGTTTTTTGTTTCTAGTTTGGAGATAGCTTTATGTTAAACATGACACCTCTTGGATTCCCATCACCAGCACACATAGCCAGCACAGCTTTAGAAACATAAGTTTTATTGAGGGCCATTCATTCCATGCTGCCAGTCTGCCACTGCCCCATCGGCATAGAATGAATGGGGTAACAGTACCAGGATTGGTACAGCAGCACGGTGCGTTTCTCAGCTCACGTACATGGAACACAAAAGTAAAACATACATGTAATAAATAAACATTGATGGGAAGAGCCCTGGCACAGGGTAAACGTACACACTTGATTGTATTGTAGTTGTTAGAGGAGTGACGTGACTTCGCACCTCCTACCAGAAACTCATTACGTCACATAGACACAGAGATACATTGGTGATTGTCCTTCTTAGTGCAGAGTGCCCTGGCTAATTAAGGGTTAATAAAAATCCTACTATAATTTCACATTTCACCAGCATGTGTTAGAGCATAATACAAGCAGACGGGTGCAGGATTCTAACATCGGTATGTGCACTGGGGGTGCTAAACCTAACACAGCAATAGACCATGCCATGCTTAATTTATTAAAATAAGGGGGTGAGGGGAATCAACTGCGTGTTGGCTTATCCAATGCTAGAAGTACATAGGCACCAATCATCTATGATTTTCTATTGTGGACTGCAACAGGAAGCCAAGTGGGTCAGTATTAACTGTCCAGGGCAAAGGAGTCTAGACTAACACAGCACGGCATCCTGGAACTGACCAGTTTCTTTCTCTCACTTCTGGTAAGGGCTAAAGTGAGGGAGGATTCAACTTTGGGGAGCCAGCCATTAACCGACTCACACTGTCTCCAGGAATTTCAATAAAATATCACATGACCACAACCTAGCAAGGTCCCGGTGAGGTGGACAACCATTCAGCTTGTTGTAGCAGCATAGGACGGTCATGTCTCTCGACCACACACGGGGGCAGTGTCTCTGCACAAGCAGCACTTAGATCTCTAGTTGAGAACTGTTGGTGGATCCCCGCATATTAATATAGGCTCCTGTCCCCTTGTCAGGAGTACGGCGAGGGTCATAGAGGTTTGTGGAGCAGGGCACAGCGTGGCAGGCAGGGGTGGTAACCTGCATCAGACTTCACATAGTACAACAGGAAAGTCCACATGGATGCACGGATGGTCTAATTTAATTGTGCCCTGTATGGGAAGAAAACAAAATGTATTTAGTTTCAGCTTTCAACAGAGGAGCATTAAAGTATTTATACTAAAATATCAGGAGGTCACCTCTGGAACAAAAAGCTTCTAAAAATAAAAATTAAGTAATTTTTCAACTCACATTGCTGACCAACTCCATAACATCAAGGCTTAACATTTAAACACCCACTGAAGGGCAGGCTATGTGGGCTGTTGTCTGTTCACAGTACTCTCTTGTATCTTGTTTTTTGCTCTCCCTAAGTTAAAAGGGTAATCTAGACGTGTACCCCTTGGTTACGGTGCCTACAGACATATCATAACAGAGAGCCCAACAAGGGTGAAACGATCGTCTGGGGATGCTGTATCTCTTGTGCAGAGAGCCGGCCTGCGTTTTGGATCTGGACCCCCCCCTTTTGGAAGGGATTAGTCTGATATGCAAATGACCCTGGTTCTTTTTTTAATGGCACAAAATTAGCTGGAGTTCTGAGCGGGGACCCACTGAAGTACAGGTTATTTGAGCTGTTGTCAGTTCACAGTACTCTCTTGCTCTTAACATTGAAAGTCCTAATAGTTACAGACAAGAACTGGGACACTGCAGTGTTAATTTCATTGATTAATGCTTTCTTATCTAAGAGTAGAGATGAACTTGCTCTCTCCCCGCATACATTTCTCAGCTAGTCTTACTGGCTGTTTGTTGTGGTCTGTGCAGTTCTCCCTGCACCTTGTAGGACCTGTTTCAGTTGAGGGCTGCTGGTGAACTGACCGTTTTCTACTTTCTGCAGTGCCTTGATGTACTGTTCAACCCTCACTGTGAAGGTGAATCATGCAGTCTGGGAGCACTCCTGGGAGCAAATTAAAGTACTTCCTATAAGATAGTGTCACAATGACTGTCTGGATGGTGGGGACGAGGAAGCAGGTGGTTACAATTCGCACAGGCAGGGGAAAGGTGCATGGCCTGGGCTGTATTTCTACTTTCCAACATTGAATGGGAATAAATATATATCCACGAATAATGCTGAGTGATGCATCTTTAGAAGCCTTTTTAAAAGGGAGACATATGGAACATATCAAGACCTGCTGGTGCAAGACATGGATCCAAATTTAGCAATGCTTTTAAACCATTGTCCTGCAGCAGACAGACTTTCCCTGAACATCTTTTGGCTTAGTATTGTGGGGCTGGTGCGGACCACTGTATGCTGAGCCAGGTTGGAACAGTAAGACAGATGAATTATGCTGCATAAAGGACTTAGGCAACATCAGTGGTAGGTACATACCACTCCTCTGGCACATAGGTGGCACTACTTGCTAACCCAGTCCCATGCACAGAGTGCTTTTGCAGCATTTTAGGCCTGGACTAAAAGCACAAAATGCATTTTTCATAGCTGGAGCACATATTTTGATGTACTTAGGCAATGTAGATTGGGGACATTCCATGGTGTCCACAGATGTGGGAGATGTCCCTAAATTTAGGACAGTACCATCAAATCCAGAACAGTTGGGAGGTATGTCGTAAGAATGTATAGGAGAGAATTTGCAAGAGTACTTAATCGTGTTTGCACCTGTAAAAATCTATGAGAGTTTGTAAAAAATATCCCAGTGTCTGTATGGACCCGGCCTAGTTAACCCTTTTAATTCCCTGTAAAAAAATTTTACTCAGCATCTCCCATGCTCACCAACCCATCATTTATTATCAACATTCAATATGACAAAGAATCATTATTTTTAAATTATTTAAATAAACATTGAAACTCTCACAGGCACACTTCAACATGAAAACGTTGCTGTTTGTTTTTTTAAATGCCTTTCCATAAATAATTCAAATATTTTTTATTTTTTTTATTTTGAATGACACTCATTTACAGTAATTATAAACAAACAACCAGTTGACTGTTTAACCCCTTAAGGACCAAACTTCTGGAATAAAAGGGAATCATGACATGTCACGTGTCCTTAAGGGGTTAAGGCGAAATAGTGATTGTGCCTTGGAAATTTTAGTATTACTGAATTGTGCCTCAGTCCAGAAAAGTGGAACAGTATCACTGAGTGCCAGAACGAAATAAAATGCACATTTCATTTCTGAATCCCGTTTCTTGTTAAATACCATCTTTGATGGGGTTTATCTACATTGCAACAATTTGTTAACCAATCTCTCAATCTCTGCTGGTTAAAAATTAATCCCACACCCTGCCTAAAGGACTGATAAAAAGTAAATGGATACAGAATTCATGAGCCAACCTCTAGACACATTTATAGGAGCTGTTGAGAATGGAGAACAAGTCTGTATAAAATACTTACAATCAGGTTTCAACGTTCATTGCACTTTATTATTAAGATTTTTATTTATTTTTGTATCAGTTTTAAAATAAATTAAATCAAAGGCATTAATTTTCACAGTAATGCGAATCTTGACGTTTAGCAAGCCCTGTTTAGAAATACATAACTTAAAATAAATAATTGATGGAATAGTTTTCTGTGAATAGGAAAAAAGAAAACCCCACACATTAACCCCCAAATAAACCAGGAAATAAATAAATAAATTTAAAAAAAGCCAGTCCACAATAAACACTAAAATTATTCGGGTATCTAATCTGGTGTGCCTGCGTTCAAGGACTTCCCTGGAATATAAAGGATTACAATTCAGGAGAATACTCTCTATAACCTGGATCCACACCAGTCAAAAGATACCTAAATAGCTCACCTGGACAGCCAACAGAGGCTGCAAGCAAGTAGATGGGTCTACACTCTGCAGAGGCATAAAAGAGATACACTGTTCCCTTTTACCGCTGTTCGTTGTACAGACATTACATCACATTCTCCAAATACTGTTGGGTGTCAGGGACAATGTAAGTATTTATCTTAACTTTGTTGCTTTGCAAATCACAGCGACACACAAGTCACCTATCTAAATTGATATTCTGCTTGTAAAAAGTTTTCAACAGATCCTCCCCCCCCCCCAATAAATAAATAAATAAATAAATAAAACAGACTACAGTGGACCTCTACAATCCTATCACAATCCTATCAGATGATTAATCTGTCATCTGTCTGTATCTGCAAAGAAAACAGGAGAATGTAAGGAAAAATACCAATGAAGAGGCAATGCCAATATTGACTTATAACCAAACCAAGGAGATTGTTGCATCATAAGGTCCCTGTAAGTCAAATGTCAACCTCTTGACTTTCTATGTGACATAAGAGCACAGAGCGACAGAAAAGAGTTCTGTTACTCAGTCCCCCTTCACTCAAGTCTTCTATTTTGACTTTCCACGACCTTCTCTAAATCACCCCACTCTCCCTTCATCCAGTTTGCTTTCACTAAGATTTGCATTTAAACATGCTAGTTACCTGGGGTCTTAGGTTCTTCTGAATACGTTTCAGCTTTGCACGTTTACGGCCATTCTTCGTCACAATTGTTTCTTCATAGAACTCATGGGCCAGATCACCATCCTCATCAAAATACATGGAGCTGTAGAAAAAGGAAACATACATAAAGAACATGCACCACACAATGATTACACAGAATATAGTGGAGGCATACATATGTAGATAAGAACTATAGGCACCTAGATCACATCATCTCCTGTCCCCCCTGTTTTAACCCTACAGCTGAAACCATTGCCAATCTGCAGGAAAGGCAATGTTTTCTTTGCAGGGTTCACCTGCCCTAGTGACTTTCCATATGACAGCCACTAGAGGTGCTTCCATGAAATAGTGATTTAAAACTCCACTATTTCTATCAGATAGTCTCAAAGAGGCGATCTGATTGGCACAGTATGGTGTTTGGCTGTGCATGTGCAGTAGCCTCCCAGATCTTTCATATGGGAAAGCATTGGATGGAGTGAAATCATTGACAACTATTATCTCAGCCAAGTAGGCAGGATCAGCCGCACAGGAGCAAGGTAATTAACTCTCAAGGAGTTAACTTTGAACCCTAGGGCTCTATAGTGTGCGTAATAAATATTTATATTCCTAGCGCTATAGCGTTCCTTTAAAAGAAAAAACTGTACTTCATCAACAAAAATAGTTAACACATGTTTAGGCAATTTTCAACATTAATTCAATTGTGCAAATTCCAAACAAGTGACAATCCCCATTTTAATTTAATATATTATCAGATATGGACTGTTCTGATTGGTGCTCTCCCTTATCTGTTGAAGGCACTTATGGGTTACACTGAACTATTGTAACCCAACTCCAAAGATGTTGATAATAAAATTGTTAACAGCCATTTCCAAAGCTTCACACGTGTTCCATGTAAATTTATGTATTTCTACCTATAATTAAGGAAAGGACTTTGGCCAGATCTGTTGATTTAACTAGATACATAATTAGACCTGCAGAATTGATGTCAAATGTTAATCATAAACTAGTAACCTGTCTAAGCAAGATGACAAAGGGAGAAATATAATCTTCTGTTAAATTTCCATCAACGCTTCACTGCCCACAGTCTGGGATATCAGATGTACTCACAGTTAACCCTGCTGTGCGGTGTTAGTCTTTATTTTTATTATCATTAGGGCATATACCAGAAAAAAAGGTTTATAAATTCTGAGCAGTTAACTGGAATGGCATCCAGAGCAGGGTGAAACTAGATTCTGAGCTGAGCACAAGCTAAACACAGGCTAAATAATTTCCAGGGGCATTTCTAAAAGGAAACCCAAATTAATAAAGTTCTGGAATGCTAGAGAGCCAATCATTCTCACACACTACAGTTTGCTCATTGTAGGAACTATATTCTAAACTATGAATGGGCAAAACCTCTGTCAAGTCAAGTTTGATCAAATATCTGCTGAGCCAAACCGCTGCTTATTTTTGTTGTGGAATAAAGCGAGTTAATTCTCCCATTGAGGGGGTGGGGCATCATTAAAAAAAATAAACCAAAAACTGAAATGCTTTTGTATTTTTACATCACAGTTGTGCAAAACCTGCAGCACCATTTCTAACTTCAAATAGAAAGCTGCAAATCACCCAGCAGAAAAAAAAAAAAAAATGTACTGCAATACACCCACAGACAGCCACCTAAGCATTATGTTTTATCATTCAAATGCAAAAGAAGCATGCATAATCATTCACTATAATTCCACTTAAAGGACCACTATAGTGCCAGGAAAACAAACATACTCGTTTTCCTGGCACTATAGTGCTCTGAGGGTGCCCCCACCCTCAGGGTCCCCCTCCCGCACGGCTCTGGAAAGGGGAAAAGGGGTAAAACTTACCTTTTTCCAGCGCTGGGCGGGGAGCTCTCTGCCTCCGATCCTCCTCCGTTCCTCCTCGTCGGCTGAATGTGCACGTGCGGCAAGAGCTGCGCGCGCATTCAGCCGGTCGCATAGGAAAGCATTATCAATGCTTTCCTATGGACGCTTGCGTGCTCTCACTGTGATTTTCACAATGAGACAGCCGCTAGAGGCTTTGGGGGAAGGCATAACCCATTCATAAACATCTCTTTCTCTGAAACTGCTATGTTTATAAAAAATAAAAAAAAATGGGTTAACCCTAGCTGGACCTGGCACCCAGACCACTTCATTAAGCTGAAGTGGTCTGGGTGCCTAGAGAGGTCCTTTAAGTAGAGTCAACAGCATTGAGCATGGATGAATTTTGGTTATTTAACCCCTTAAGGACACATGACATGTGTGACATATGATTCCCTTTTATTCCAGAAGTTTGGTCCTTAAGGGGTTAAAATGTATCTAGAATCCAGAGCCCAAGGAGAATCATTGATATGCTAACTGATAATGTTGACATTGCCTATAAAAAAAGGCACTTCACAATTAAAGTTCTTCACCGCTCTTCAGGGTCTCCACACTCTGCATGGAGACATTTAACGTTTCCCATAGTGATACATGGAGTTATTGCATCTCTACAATAAGATGCAGATTGCACAGTGTGACTATTGCTACCCTACAGGAAGCATTGGATTGGCTGAGAACATCATTTGTGATAATCTCAGCCAGAGGATGAGCGTCGCCCACGGTGAGAAAGGCAGGCCAGGGGATAGAAGGTACATAAAATGCTTTCTTTTCTGACTGGGCTGGCATAACCCAACTAGCTTTTAAAAAACATCTTCCCGAGTGGAGGACAGTAATGTTAGTTTAAAACAAAACAACTTAAACATCATAATGCATGACCCTGTCAAGGTTTTAGTTTACAATATTTACTTGAATATGAAACAGGCAATGTGCAATGGGAGCATGTAAGGCAGTGAGGCCAAAAGGCAGCCCACTTACACTGTAATAAAACTCCAACTCTCAAGAAGCTTCCTCAGCCTTACCAAGTGTCACTAGGAGTTCTAGAACACTACTACTTCATGCACTCATGTTCACTGCATGTCAGAACCAAACTCCAGCACCAGCCATAGTTAACCCCAGCTCTGCCCACCCTGCACAGTCACCCCCCCCCCCAGCTCCGCACAGTCACCCCAGCTCCGCAGTCACCCCAGCTCCGCACAGTTACCCCCAGCCCGCACAGTCACCCCCCCAGCTCCGCACACAGTCAGCTCCGCACAGTCCGCACAGTCACCCCCAGCTCCGCACAGTCCCCCCCAGCTCCGCACAGTCACTCCGCACAGTCCTGCACCCAGCACAGCCCCCCAGCTTCCACAGTCACCCCAGCTCCGCAGTCACCCCCAGCTCCGCACAGTCACCCCCAGCCGCACAGCTCCCCCCAGCCCGCACAGTCACCCCAGCTCCGCACAGTCACCCCAGCTCCCGCACAGTCACCCCCAGCACAGTCACCCCCAGCTCCGCACAGTCACCCCCAGCTCCGCACAGTTACCCCCAGTTAATCCTCCCTGGGTTTCATGGCATGCAGGGCACACAGTGCGCCCTCTGTGAGCAGCTCCTGCCATGGACACAGCCAGCCCCCACCGCCCCCTCTGCTGCCCCTCCGCTCCTCACCCGCGCCGGGTAAAGATGAACGGGGTGGCCTTGCGGATCCGTGCCAGGCTCTGCTCGGTGTTGGGTGAGGTCTCGGGTCCTGGGGAGGAGAAGGGCCACAAACCTCGGGCCCTCGAGCTGCTGCCACCCATGACGGGTCCCCCTCCCCGGGGAGCTGATGGAGCAGTTCGCACAGCGCTGGATACTCCGCCGGCCGCTGGGTCGCTCCGTCCGGGGCCGCCGCTGATCGGTCGCTGAGGACAGCCGTGTCCGAGCTCGGACTGCCCGGTGTCTCCTCGGATCGAGCGTGCCCTCCCGGTGCCTTCTGTCACAGACGCACCGCTTCGATCTGACGTCACTACCGGCGCCGCAGCAAGCCTGCTGTCACGTGACCCGCACAGCTCCACTCACCAGCCAATAGGCGCTCTGCTCGAAGGCGAACTCGCCAAGGAGTACCGGCGATCACGTGGTAGATAGACACGCCTTCTGTCATTGCATTGACCAATCAAAACTCCGAATGTGGGCGGGGTTACAGCTCAAGGCGAATGGGGGGGGGGGCGTGAAGATGAAAGCACGTGGCCGGAAGTAAGGGCGGTCTGAGCTATAGAGGAGCGTGCTGTCAGTGCTGGACACTGCATGGCACATGGTCATAGGCTCAGGGGTCACAGAAAGCACCATAACCACTGCAGCATAGTGTTGTGGTTATAGTCCAAAGCTTGTGTGAGTGCTAACCCTGTACCTATATAAATTAATAAAAATGGTCAAATACCTTACGGCTATTTGCAAGAGCCCCAAAGGCGTTACTAGCAGTACCGCTTACTGAAAGTAGAAACTAAATGTAAAAAGAATAAATGTATTTATGCACAAAAAATACCGTAAATATGAGAAAAGTGGTTTGTGCGTGAATAAGGCGCTTAAATTATAAATTTAAAGGCTTACTATAGGGTCAGGGACACAAACTTGTATTCCTGACCCTATAGTGTTAAAACCACCATCTAGCCCCCCTGTGCCCCTCATGCCTCCATAAATATAGCAAAATCTTACTGTATTCGAGCCAGAAGCTGTAACTCTGCATGCTGTGTGTCTCAGAAAACAAGCAGTCTGCTGACATCATCAGAAGTGGTGGCCTGATCCAATCATAATGCTTCCCCATAGGATTTGCTTGAGACTGACAAGGAGGCAGATCAGGGGCCGAGCCAGCATGATTCAAACACAGCCCTGGCCAATTAGCATCTCCTCATAGAGATGAATTGAATCAATGAATCTCTATGAGGAAAGTTCAGTGTCTGCATGCAGAGGGAGGAGATACTGAATGTTTGGATGCATTTTAGGCAGCCATGACCCAGGAAGGATCTCTAACAGCCATCTAAGGAGTAACCAGTAAAGTTATCACTAGGCTGTAATGTAAACACTGAATTTTTTTCTGAAAAGACAGTGTTTACAGCAAAAAGCCTGAAGGTAATGATTCTACCCACCAGAACAAATTCAATAAGCTGTACTTGTTCTGGTGACTATAGTGTCCCTTTAAGACCCTTTTGTGAAGTAATGATGGTTCAACTCACATGGTTGTGAGCCAGATATGACAGGCTCAGGTCATATTTGCAGTATTGTACACAGGTGACACAATACCCCCCTCAGATACTATGATGTATACTCTCAGGGAGACAAAAGGTGAAAAAAAAGGAGATAATCCTCCTAGTGTTATACAGCAAAACCTCCAGGTAGTTTCATATATACCATAAATGACTGCTCACCTTTACTAGAGCCCATTGAACCTGGCTCTATGTGTGTTCGCTTGTGTGCCTATAGAGCTGGCACAGCCCTTCTTTTGGAAGCAGAGAGATTGAGAGGCTTGAGGGACCTTTGTAAAAAATTATTAAGGTTCTTGACAAGGTTTAAAATAACAAATAGTAAAATACAGCAAAAGTGCTTTAAAGTTTTACGGCTCTCCTCCTCCCGAGATGTGTTTCGCCCAGGGCCGGATTAACATAGGGGCTGATGGAGCTGCAGCTCCAGGCCCATGCCAATGAAATAGGCCCTTAGCCGATATTGCAGTCATACTGACAATACAAATGCTGGTATTTTTCTCAGTATAAACAGAGATTACGGTGCAATACCAGCACTGGCCAGTAGGGTGTCGCTGTGTGTGTGGAGAGAGGCAGGGATAGGAAGTTCCAGCATATCCCTCCCTGCCTATCTCTAATCACTGATCCACAGGGAAGCAGCTACAGAGAGCCCAGACAGCAACTCCCACCCTGCAAAGACATCCTACAGCTCAAGAAAGTGAGGGATGGGGAAAGGCTGCAAGAAGACATGGGGGCACTGGGAGATATGGGGACATTGAGACACTAAGGGACATTGGGAGACATTATGACACAGACACTTGGGGACACTGAGACACTTGGGGACACTGGGAGATATGAGGACACTGAGACACTATGGACACAGTGTCCCCATGTCTTCAAGTGCCCCCTAGGTTCCCAGTGTTCCCTAGTCTTCCAGTGTCCTCTTATGTCCCAGCCAGTGTCCCTAGTGTCTCAATGTCCCCATGTCTCCCAGCCGGCACCCCTAGTATCTGTGTCCATGGTGTCTCAGTGTCCCTATGTTTTCAAGTGCCCCCTAGTTTCCCAGTGTCCCCTAGACTCCCAGTGTCGCCATGTGTCCTAGCCAGTGTTACCTAGTCTCCTGGTGTCTCAGTGTCCCACTGTCCCCATGTCTCCCAGTGTCCCCAAGTGTCTCCATGTCTCCCCGTGTCCCCAAGTGTCTTAATGTCCCCATTTCTCTCAGTGTCCCTAAGTCTCCCAATTTCCCCTGTCTCAGTGCACCCATGCCTCACAGTGTCCCCATATCTCTCTTAGTGTTCCTAGTGTCCTAGTGACATGTGGACCCTGGGAGACATTGGAATACATATACTATGGGACACTGGGAGACATGGGGACATAGACACTAGGGGACACTGAGAGACATGTAAATACTGGGGGACACAGGGAGACATGGGGACACTGGGAGACTTGGGGCATTGAGACACTGTGATACATAGGGACACTGTGATACATAGGGCCACTGGGAGACCTGGAGACACAACACTAAGGGATACTGGGACATGGGGACACTGGGAGACATTTCCCACTGAGACACTGTGATACATAGGGACACTGTGAGACCTGGGGTAATTGACACATGGGGGCACTGGGAGACACGAGGGCACTGGGAGACATGGGGGCACTGGGAAACTAGAGGAGACTGAAACACTGGGCAACAGGGGGACAATAGGAGACATGGGGACACTGATACATAGGGACACTGAGACAGTGGGAGATGAAACACTTTGGACAGGGAGACACTGGGAGCAATCCATCTATACAGCAAAATCAAAGTAGTTTTTTGGTGATTTTACAGCATTTTCTCATGTCACTCCTTGTGATTTACATCATGTCACCCATACATAATTAATTATGCAAATTAGTAAGGCCTGTATGTTTTTCAAAGAAAGGTGGCAACCCTAACTACTTTTCACATACTCTTGTTTAAGTATGGAAACTTAAGAGGGATTGTATAGGAACAAAACTTGTGTGGACTGGCTGACAATGAAATTAGTAAAGGTAATGCCGACTTTGGTCTCTCTAACACAGTGGCATGTTCCCTTTCTTCTACACTCACTACATACAGTTTTCCTCTGTCCCAGACTATATACCAGGAGCTTCTGCTTGCTGGTAAGAAGTTAAGGAGACAGGTGGACCAGCAATTGCTTGGGGACAGTCCTTAGAAAGCATTGAGTGAGTGCATCATTAGACGCATTTACGCCAAGCTCAAGGTGCTCTCTGCATAGTATGCCCTTAGTTGGCAAGCTTGCATGATTGGCAGGCATGTTCGCCCTGTAGCAGAGAGACTCTGGCGGTCCAGTGTAGCAAACTCCAGTATAGCCACTTTAAAGGAGTTTGCCCTGAGTTCTTGGAGGGGGCTGCTTGCCAGCCTCCTGCCCAGGGATTATGGTCCCGGGAAGATGTAGCCCTTTACGTACAATGGCTGGGCTCAATGAGATTTTGTATAGCACTACTGGCGCTTTAAGAGCCAGCCAAGGACATATAATATAATATTACAGAGACTTCGGGCTATATAACTTATGCAGCAAAGGACATTGAGCTGTCTTCAAAACTGTGTGTTTTAAAATGCTTTCGGTACTTTGCTGGTATATATATCTTCAGTGTATGAAGCATTCGTTTGATTGTCCCCATAAAACTGTATTGACTCACTGCATTCGTCATACGAACTAAATCTACCGAACACCAGACCACCCTGATACAAAGTGTGGCTCCAATCAACCTCCCAATTCGTTTTATTACCTCTTAAGTGGAAACTCACAAACGCTCGATTAAGTCCCTAGGTGGCCGCCATTTCAGGAGTTTAACACGTGGCGGCGGCCATCTTAATCTCCCGAACAGCGGTGTTTTGCCGTCGAGTGTCTGGAACTAAAATCGGACACTCGACTAAGCAAACACCACTGAGACATCCAGACTTCCATATCTTTGGGCTGGAACTACCGAATGAGCCGCGGTTCAGTAGAAAGACTCCTACTAACATGGGGATTCCCACGAATGCCAGCATAGCCATGTGTGGACTGCCTTTTGGGACTTTTATTCCACAAACAGAGACCGACCGCAAGGCCAAAATTTATGGAACTATTCTCGGATACTGTTGCCTGTGCGGTCGGTCAAAACTTTACTTGCCCATAACTCCCGAACCCCTGGTCCGATTTGGGTGATTTTTGAATATGTCATTCACCCAGATCAGGGCTATCAGGGGATACCATATTTAGGGGTGTATCCTTTGTATTTGGGGTACATCTAGAACTTGGGGAAAAATATGTACATTTTAATTCTCTTAACAGATAATTTGATGGGAGGAGATGTGTGGGTTGTACCTTGTACTTTATTGGTTAATGTACTAATTATTGTGGGTGGCTCCCTTGCACGGGAGCATTGCATAAAAGCAGGGGTTGTCTGATTAAAAGTTAGTTAAGTTTTGCTCCTGATACTGTGTGTCGTCCAGTTATTGGGAAAGGTGATGGGAAATTCTTGGATTATACAGGGAGTGCAGAATTATTAGGCAAATTAGTATTTTGACCACATCATCCTCTTCATGCATGTTGTCTTACTCCAAGCTGTATAGGCTCGAAAGCCTGCTACCAATTAAGCATATTAGGTGATGTGCATCTCTGTAATGAGAAGGGGTGTGGTCTAATGACATCAACACCCTATATCAGGTGTGCATAATTATTAGGCAACTTCCTTTCCTTTGGCAAAATGGGTCAAAAGAAGGACTTGACAGGCTCAGAAAAGTCAAAAATAGTGAGATATCTTGCAGAGGGATGCAGCACTCTTAAAATTGCAAAGTTTCTGAAGCGTGATCATCGAACAATCAAGCGTTTCATTCAAAATAGTCAACAGGGTCGCAAGAAGCG